GTGTGTGTGTGTGTGTGTGCGTGTGCATGCTTGTGTGTGTATGTGCGTGCGTGTACCCAACACCAAGCAGCGAGCAAGCTTCCAGTGTGCCATCATCTCTGACGGGGAGTCTACCTATGTGTCGTTTGCCTACGCCAAGGGGGGTATGACGTTTGATCCCAGCCAGAAACGGCGTGTTGCGGTAGGCTGGTCGGACCAGTTCTTTGGTGCGGATCTCTTCGACTTCAATGACTTTGACAGGAGGATCGGAAACGGAAGTGAGTGTACAGTCCTTTCAGATAAATGATTACATTTCACTTCGGTAGTCGAACCAGTTGACCACCGATACTACAATCTCACGATTACGAGTCCTGTAGTCGAACCAGTTGATCACCGACTTCACCCTGTCTACATATTCAAAGTGTCCTTGCCAATAACAATATCGATCTACAACTGTCAGGTCGGAGGATGCTCTGGTGTGGTTTGCTCCTTCTTTCCTATCACACATCTATCGTCCTTATGTCTCCTTTTGTGTGTGCTTGTTATTATCTTGTAACGCTTTTAATGTTCGGCACTTATAAATGACCTTATCGTGCTGCAAGTGCCTTAAAACTTTAACTACAACTAAACGAAATATAACTTTATCTGTCTTCAGAACAGGAAGGTTACTGGCTCTTCCTTGTTGGCAAGAACCCCCATCTGAAATGTCGGAGCTTCAAGGAACAGCAGAGGATACTGGGTGAGTGGCCTTGCTCTGTCTCGGGATGTGTGGTTGGCTTAAAGGTATCCTTCACACTTCTCGATCCAGGTCTTCCTTGGTCTTCTTCTTGCCTTAAACCCTGTTATCCTATAGTTGCACGTTTTACTGGCAAGCTGATGGGGTGCCATACGTGTCAAATGTGGCATTGTAAAGAAATCATGCTCTCATCAAAATGATCCGCTATCAGATTTTATAAATAGTTTTATACAACGTTGTCTTTGTGGGGTTACGAGCTATATAAAGAGCTTTCTACAACGTTACTGTTGTCTGCTACAAACTTTATAAACATTTATTTACAACGTTCTCTATGTCCAAGAAATGGCTTTATAAACAGCTTTATTCACCCTTACCTTTGTCCAGGCCTGCCGGTCACGAACAGCCTTATACCGCAGTGTCCTTGCAACCACTACTACGCTCAGATAAGCAGTGACTGGATACTAATGGCCGGAAGTAACATCACAGGTCTGGGAGACACAGTGTGTTATGACCACTTCTCCCTCCAGCAGTCAGTGAAAAGGGTAGGACATTTAGCTACCTTTTGGCACGCCTTGACTTGCTTTATAATGTCTCCTCTATGTAAAAACTTTACTTATAATGTCTCCTCTATGTAAAGACATTACTTATAATGTCTCCTCTATGTAAAGACTTTACTTATAATGTCTCCTCTATGTAAAGACTTTACTTACAATGTCTCCTCTATGTAATGACTTTACTTATAATGTCTCCTCTATGTAAAGACTTTACTTATAATGTCTCCTCTATGTAATGACTTTACTTATGTCTCCTCTATGTAAAGACTTTACTTACAATGTCTCCTCTATGTAATGACTTTACTTATAATGTCTCCTCTATGTAATGACTTTACTTATAATGTCTCCTCTATGTAATGACTTTACTTATAATGTCTCCTCTATGTAAAGACTTTACTTACAATGTCTCCTCTATGTAATGACTTTACTTATAATGTCTCCTCTATGTAATGACTTTACTTATAATGTCTCCTCTATGTAAAGACTTTACTTATAATGTCTCCTCTATGTAATGAATTTACTTCCTCTATGTAAAGACTTTACTAACAATGTCTCCTCTATGTGATGACTTTACTAACAAATCATCATGGACGCAATGACTTTACTTACAGACTTTAACATAAGTTAAGTACAACTTCGACAGACACCCCTAATTTTTTAAAAATCCGAAAAAAAAGACAGCAAGGAATGTTTTAAATTTGTTTGCTCTGAAAATGTTAATGGGCTAACAATGCGTACTGCAAAGCTTCCTAGGGGGCAAAACCACCACGTGCAGCACAGAAATACTCGGAGAATTTTAGCCAAATTTGCTGTTTTTTATCGACTTGTGTTCGACACAATGGACATTCCTCAGTTAAAATGTCTGGTGCACGTGATAAAAGGACGTAAGGTCTCCAACTGTGCTAACGTTTGTGGCAAATGAGCTGCCGTTTGTGCAAAATCCAATATCGCATCAACATGCCACCAAGATGAAAAC